CCTAAAATTTTTTTCTTATAATCTAAAAATAAATACTGCAAAAAAGTAATTCTTATTTTTAAATATAATTGTACAAAGTTTGATTTAATTATTTTTGTTTTTTATAAAAATAAATCAGAACCAAAAAAGTATAAAAACACAGGCAAATTTGTCTGTATTCTATTACAATCTAAGGGATAATAGCTGAACTCTTATAATCAACAATCATACAAGTGTTTAATAAAACAAAACATATCTCTTTAATCATTCAAAACAGAAGAAATTTGATAGTAATATTACTGCCTTTATTGTTGAGGATATTTAGCCATTTTTAGTTCTTCAGTCATAGACGTTCAAAAGAATCATAGAAGAACTTGATGTTCAAGCCAATGTACTTAGTATAGATCACTTAAAGGAACTTCTTATAAATAGTAAAGATAAAATTTTAAAAATGTTTGTAAGTATGCAATTAATAATATGAAAATTAGTAGTATCTCATTTACTATGGATATATGAACCTCAAATAATAGTAATCCATATATTGGACTTACACTTTATTAGTAAATAATAATTTTTAAATAAAAGAAATAGTAATAATATTTTATACCTTCCATATCCTTATACTGCTGAATGTTTTCTAAATAAAATAGTTGAAATTTTAGATAGTTTTAAACTTAAAAATATAATTATTTGTAGTACAGTTGAGAAATTGTAACGAAAATATAGCATATATAAGGTTTTTTGTTTTGGATATAGTTTGCAACTTGCAATTTATGATGCATTAAAAGAATGTTCCAAGATTACAAATTTAATAAAAAATGTAAGGATAAAGTATCACATTTTAGTGAAAGTCCAAAACAAAAGCAATTTTTCTTGAAAGCACAAATGAAAATAAAAGATTAAGATAAACTTCTTACTATAATTCATAACGTTTCTACAAAGTAGAATTTGACATTCTATCTATTAAAGCAGTTAACTATTCTTAAACCTATTATATATAAGTATAAGTTACTTTTAGTTGAAGCCAATAACAATAATTTGCTAAAAAATTATAAAGAAAAAGAATTATTATTTGATAATTGGGATAAAGTAACCAAATTAGTAAAATTGTTGTATCTTTACAAAATTATTTCTAAAAAATTATCTAATTCGCAATATCCAACAACTTCACAAGTGTAGTTTGCAATTAATTTTATTAAAATGAAGCTTGATTGTGCTATAACAAATAATACTAATGTTCAAAAGTTTAGAAACTTCCTTTATAAATCAATTTAGGTATAATTTTTTTTATTTTTAAATTTTTTTTGAAAAATTTGATTTTCATCTAGGTTAAAGTCATCTGATAAATTATATCATTTATATAATTAAAATTATTAGTATTAGTAATATTTCAGGTGACTTTAATTTGAGTAAAAATAAATTTTCTCTTTTTTTATTTTTATTTATTATTTATTTTTATTTTTTTTTTTTATTTTTTTATTTTTTAGACATAATTTTTAGAACCATCAAAACCAATTCAGCTTGTTATATTTTTGACTCACGAACTAAAGACATACCAATATTTACTGAGGATGAAAGAAATCATACTATTTCAGAAGCATGTATTAAATTTAAATTAATTTCTAACTTTTGTAAATTAGACATTTCATCAGATACAGAAAGTCAAATGGATTTGAAATTTTATTGGGCAATTATTACACGTGATCAAAATTTGATTGGTTAATATCTAGATACTTATGTGCCAATTTTTGAGTATAATATATAAATAGTTGAACTTTAAAATAATATAATAAAATTTTTATATTATTAATTTACCAATCTTTTTTATAAAAAATAAATATATAGTAATGATAATTAATTTTTACAAAAAAGTTTTATTTAATATTTAATTTTGAAGTTAAAATTTAAATTTGTATTAATATAATATTTGTTGATGGCTTTAGATGATACTGACTATACTAAAATGATTTTCTTATTAAAAGAATTCTAATAAATCTAAATTCATAAAAAGCTAATTACTAGAAGTTAAAATATATATTACTATATAATAACTTAAAATAAAATATATTTATAGTAATAGATGTAGCAACTTAGTAAAGTGGTCAAGTTGTTGCCCCCAAGTAGCACATCCAGAGTTCAATTCCTACTAATAACGAAAAATCGAATTCTTCTGTATAATAGTAACTATTCAGGTATTAGGATGTAGATTCTGTAACAACAGTTAAACCAAATAGGTATAAGGGTTAATGATTGCCTAACAGATTGCTTATTTTGCAAGCTCTATCAGGGATAGTAGTACAAACTTGAAAGATCATAAGACATTTATGTAATAAAGAAGTTATACAAAGAGATATAAACTGATAAAAGGTGATGTAAACTCACAATAAATTACTATGATCTGTGTAAATTTGGTGGACTAGTTCTGAATAAAAATCTGCTTAACAATTCCCAAGTAAAAATATAATATATACTTTCGATGGTTCTGGAAAGTCTAAAAAAACCAAAAAGCTGCAGATCTGGATGAATACCAGATGTTTTGTGAGCACTATACCAATCAGGCTGCTGGAATTGATCTAATAAAAAGAGCATAGACCGGTATTCAGATTAAATCAATAAAAAAGTAGGTAATCTAATATATAGACCATATCAGACTATCTAAATTAGAAGTTTAATAAAACAGTAAAAGGATTCCTGATTGGATGAGTACTAGAACTGGGGTATGAGTGAACTTTATAAGGTCAGAAGTAGGTAACGGTAGCAGCTTCAGTATGCAAATACTTGTTCTCAGACTAGGTATAAGTTATCTAAGTCTAGATCAGCCTAAATGTAGGTATAGAAGGCTCTAGCAAGTTTATCTTAAGGTCAAAAGACTCTTTAAAATAATAAAAACTACTTTAAAGCTCTAAGCCAGCATGTGAAAATAAGGTAGTACTAAGTATCATCGCTTGGATATAAAAGAATTAGTACATAGGTGCAGAGGGTTTAAATAGGTATTTCCCTTAGTAAAGTATAGATATAGCATCTAATATATAACTTAATAATAAGTAGATACTTAAATAGATACTCAAAAAGTGCAAATATGGTTAGTTGTACTCTACAAATATATATAGCTATTAGAATGTTCTGACAATTAAAAATACTACTAATATTTGAATAAAAAGCAGCATAGCAAAAAAGTTACCTGGGTGTGGTAACTTAGTGAAGTTGGCAAGTTGTCGCACTCCCAAGCAGCAGGACTAGAGTTCGAATTCTACTGGTAACGAAAATTCGAATTTAAAAAAATGCATTTAGAAGACTGTATTCTATTGGGTTATAAAACCTGTAATGGTGGTCATACCAGCTTGTACTAGAAGGTAGTAAAACATGTAGTGTGATGTATAGGTTACACGAAACCCAAGTAAAGCTACCGGATAAATCTAGCAAATTTACAGGGTACAGGAGCCTGCTTGGCAAGACCCGAGTAAAGAGATAGCACAGATCTTTGATGGTACTACGTAAAGAATTATCAACCGGAAACTGAAAAACCGAACGGAACCGAAGTGTTTGGCAAGGTACTTCACCAACCTGGATAACTGAAGGAAAAGAACTCAACCGTAGAGACCAAGGGCAGATCACAGCCCTTCCAGACTATTTGGATTGAAAATTTGGGATGACAGATGTATGGTGGGTAGTCCGTATAGTAGATGCTGGGGTTTGGGTAAACTCTATAAGGGTGGTAGTAGATAATAGTAGCGGTCTCGGCTCGCAAATACTTGTTCTCAGACTCAGCATAAGTTACTAAAAGCCTAGGTTAACCGAATTGTGGATACGAATAGCTCTAGCAATGATGCCTTGAGGATAAATTAGTTCTAAGGGTATAGGTGAGAATCTGAAACTTTGTAAGATGTAACAGTGATATAGGTAAAGTTACATTACAGAGAGTTTAATTGGATAGCTCAAGTAATAGTGGGTTATAGGTACAACTAATGATTTGAATCAGTTGGACTATAATTGGATAATCGACCCGAACTGAATAATTTTTGGTTAACCGGTTGAGGAAATTCTTAATCGGTTGACCCGATACAACTGTTTGAGAATTGGGTAATCGGTTGGCAGAATCAATATAATATAAAAATGACGTAAAGAGAGGGTAAAGGGTCTGAAAAGTTCTGAAAAGAAAATGAATGAACATAAAGACATGAAGGTAAAGCTTCGAGAATTTCCGATGGTAGTAGATAGTTAATCTTAACCGGTTGGCAATTGGTTGAATGAAATAATTCGGTTTGGTTAACCGATTAAGGAAATTTTTCTCAGTTCAAATCACTAGATACAATATCTAGCATAGAACCTAGTACTAGGTAGATACTTAATTAGGTTCTCAAAAAGTACAGACATGACTAGAATATACTCTCTAATGTATAGGGTTGGAATGAGCTTCTAACTCAGTAAATACTTAAATAAAAGCCTTAGTCCCAAAGAGGCTAGTTAAAGAGAAAAAAAAAAAAAAAAAGCAAAAAGGTTATCTTAATAACAAAAAAATATATATATATATTTATAGTAATATAAATCTAATATTATTTTAGAATTTAGTGATTAGATTTTTGTAATTTTAAGCTTATTAGAATCTTCTCATTAAGAAGATCATTTTGTAATTAAATCATTTAAATTGATTCAGTATATCAAAAGTTATTAATAATTAAAATTTTCTAATAAATTTATAATTTGGTTTGTAATAGTATTGTAATCTTTTTAACAATAGTATTAGTAATAATAATATCCTGATCCATTGGGAATTAGCGGAAACGGAGTTTCTGCTTATTCATATATGGTCAAGGTATTATTAATTAATACTTCCGTGATCTTAATATAGTAATCGGAGTATTATAATAATAACATAGCTACAAGGATCCTTCACAGATTTATAATAGTTTCAAGAAATAAGTATAATTTTTACTTCTTTTAGAAACTATACTCTTCTCTCTGTAGCAGTTTAGGCAAATAATAGTTTATAGATAAAATATATATTTATTAAAGATAAATAAGATAGGCTATCCTTAAATTTCTATTTCTAAAAAATTCTATAATATTACAAGAAAAATTTTAGAAAAGAGGAAGTCTGGGTCTAAGTTAAACAGTAACAGGTCTAATGTTTACTTGAGGAAATTTACAGCCTTTTTATATCTTTAGAGCTAATTGCTAATTATTGCAGCTAAGCGTAGTTTACTTAGTGCTAAGCATTAATTGTAATTGCTAATCGTTAAGTATTAAGTGTTAATCACTAATTATTAATTATTAAATGTCGCGGCTGAAGCTGGAAATGGCTGAAGCTGGAAATCAGATAAGCTGATTTAAAAAAATACGTCCTACCAA